AGAATGGGCAGAAAAACGAAAGCAGAAAGATAAAATATACTAATCGAGGATCAACATGTGCTGTGAGTTGAACGAGGACCTACACTCCAGCGGGGTACCGGGCAGAAGACAGCAAATAAACATTTTCTACCCATGATCTGGGAGAAAGAGAATTTTTAAAAGCTACATAAATCCTATCTTGATATATGGAAGTGAATCATGGACAGTTGGTAGATTAGGGAAACACTATTTGGAAGCTGCGGAAATGTGATTTTACAGATGGATGATGAGAATACCCTGGACAGCTAAAAAGAATAAACATGATGTCTTGAACGAAACTAACTCACGAAGAGAACTGATTGCCCACATCAGAAAGAGACAATCTACATTCTTTGGTCATGTGATGAAAAGGAGAAAACTGAAGTACATCGTGACAGAAGGAAAGTTAGAGGAGAGGCAGAGGGAGAGGCAGAGAAAAGATGCTGGACAGTTTAACATCATAGCATGGGGGATCATCTGTGTCAGAGTTGACCAAAAGCACATGAGACTGAAGGATGTGGACAGACATGACTACCAACGCCACACGGCATGGACTTTAGGAAGAAGAAGAAGATCTGGGTGTGGTGTGGGTTGGATGAGAACATACTCCACTAGGAGATAAAGAGCAGACAAAGAAAAAAGAAACATCTAATTTATATCCCATGATCAGGCAGTGGAAAGGGTCGAATGAGGACATATCCCACTAAAGGGATAACAGGCAGACAAAGACAGAAGAAACATCTAATTAACTAACTCTAGGATTACAGGGTAGTATACAAATATTTTGTTACCTTGGTAAGATAAATACTTGTGACATTAACTACCGCTTTAAAAAAAATGTACACAGATAAATATGGAAGACATGAAGTGAGATGCACAAGGCAAAGAATAGTTATGTAATGAAATATTTCAATGAGAGGTTTAACCCTTTGTGCATCAATCAATGCATTATACATTCCTTTGTTACCTAAGGGATAATATGCTGATCTTGATCGATAATATTCTACAAAGTGCTACATTAACTCATTGCAGCTGTTTGTTAAAACAGTTTTGTTTCATAGTGGCGTACTGATAATCTTTTTAGACCCTCATTAAACAGCCAAATTTTTTTAATAAAACCTGTACAAGAGATAACTCCACTGGAAAGAAAGAGTTAAGATCAGAACAAGAAGAGAATGAAGGAGAAGAGATACAGTACGTAAAACAAAAATAACCAAATTAGTTATTTCCAAAGGTCCCTGTGTGGGTTGTGGGGTCCTATTAGGGACTGCACCACTAACAAGCATGTTATAAAATTCGACTAATTAGGAAAGTTTCTTTCAAAGTCAGAATGCATCTGCCTGAATAGTGAGGAAACCAACACTCTGCATACAAATAAGCCTGATCTGTAAAATGGATGTGCATGCAAAACTCAAGTTTTGGAACCAGACCAAAGTCTAGAAATGGGCGAACAACCAGTTTTCTGTCACAGTTTAGGCTGGTGAACATGGAGATTTCCACAAGTTGTACCTTTCTATACTCTTCTGAGTTTAAATTCCCAGTGGAGTATAGACCTTACCAAGTCAGAAAATGTGTAGCCATAATTGGATAAAATTAGTGCTTAAAGTCTTTTACAGGATAAGGTAGCCAGTCTCATGCCACCCCTCCTTAGTTGCCTGCTATGACATTCATGATAGTTTACAGTGATGCTTGGCTATGTTTTTTTAAACCAAATGCCAAAGGAAACTGATCAACATTAAAATGTGATAAATTTGTTTCTTTCAAATACAACTGCATCTGCCTGAGAGGCAAGGAACCAACAGTGTCCATATAAATAATCCAGATTTGTAAAACGGATGTGCATGCAAAACTCAAGTTCTGGAACAAGACCGAAGCCTAGGATTGGGCAAACAACCAGAACTTTCTGTTGGAGTTTACAGTCGGTGAATGCTAAAAAAAAAAAGGTGATGAATTCAAGAAAGGTGAAGAAACAAGAGCAATATTTGGACAACCACTAGCATTAACAGTTAAAAGACAAAGAAGTTGCCAATATACTGGGCCCATCCTGAGTAGACAAGCCAGGACATAAAATCACCAAAAAGTGCCTAAATGGACTAAGGAAACGAGGACAGTTAAAAGGAACATTTAGAATACTCATAAGAGAGGGCAAAGGTGCAAGACTGGATTCGGCCCATGATATTGAAACAAATGTACAGGAAAGCACGGATAAAAAGAATAAACTGGGAGTATCATAATGGCACAAGAGAATGACAATGATGATTGTAAAGATGATGAAGATGATAATTCTCTGTTACCGAATGAGCCCCAGTAACAAAGAAGCAAAACCAGGCTAAGCGTATGCAATTAGTATTGCTACTGGACTATACTTAAATAAGTCAAGTCCCTTCATTCATTGTTTATTACTATTTCAGACAAAATAATATTTATAAGTTATTTTTTCCGACACTTGCTTGTTGGCCAGAAAGTCTTAGGTATAAGTCAACATCAAGGTGTATTTTTAAAAAAAATACTGACTCCAGCTTTCGTGTTGATCTAGCCTAAAAAGGGTACAAAGAAATGTCCTGGGAAGTAAAGTTGGCCAGCAAGATGACCACATCACAAAAGGACCAAGAAATGTCCTGGGAAGTAGAGGGCCAGCAAGATAACCACATCACAAAAGGACCAAGAAATGTCCTGGGAAGTAAAGTTGGCCAGCAAGATAACCACATCACAAAAGGACCAAGAAATGTCCTGGGAAGTAAAGTTGGCCAGCAAGATGACCACATCACAAAAGGACCAAGAAATGTCCTGGGAAGTAAAGTTGGCCAGCAAGATGACCACATCACAAAAAGAGTGCCAATTCATATGTAAAAATATGGTTCCAGTATACGTTCAATGCCACTTGGCACGGAAAAAAAGGTCCTTAACTTTTTTCTGTACTTTTATCACAAATTATGAGAACTAAACTACAAACAATATATAAATTGAGCAATCAACGTTTCAAGAACATAAAAGAATTCACATCTAAAGTAAAAACAGTGCTATCATGCTTTATATTTACAAATATAAAATCACAATAAAATTAACATAAGTTTTTTGTTTTCCTGAATTTTTGACATTAACAAAATCAACAACACAAATCTACTACAATAACTTTAAACCATTATTATGAAAATTATGGCTTTACATCTCTGAAGCGAATAACAAATAAATGCAGGGAAACAGGCTGCTGAAATAGTGAAGACATAATGATGTGCATTTTCTGAATAACAATGTGATAATAATAACTAAACCACTATCATAAATGTTACTGATTTGTCTCCGCAAGCAAAATGTCAACAAATAAATGTGAGTCAAAATAGTTATATGAAGATATAATGATGTGCATTTTATAAATAATAAAAACGTTAATTATTAAAACATTTTTATAAATGCTACTGCTTTGCCTATGCTTAACATAAATAATCACATTAAGTGGAAATCAAAACCAGTTGTAAGGTTGAAGACATCAAGTGCATTTTATTTTATTTAAAAAAAAAAAAAAAAAAAGTGAAAAACAAGTGCGAGCAAATTAAAAATTAAGAGATCCTTACAAGACTGGTTTAAGTCACGCTACTGAAACTGAAGACTAACAGGCAGATTGCTAAACATTACTCCACCAAACACCTAGCTTCATGACTCAACTGGATAAACAAGAATAAACAATGAAAATTTTATTTAACTCAACAAGATCTACTTCAACGGAACAAACAATAATAGTAAAGAAAGATTAAAAAGTAAAATGCAGGTTTCCTCTTATCTACATTGTACTTGGACATCACAAATCAATTTAACTCCTTCAGTACCAAGCAGTGAGCGGTTGGCTGAACGGTTAAGAATGCTAGGCTCTCATGCGGGGGGACCCAGCTTCAAATTCTCATTAAGGTAAGGTAGTGAATTTTCTTCTGTGTGGGGCAAAAATAAAATATAATCTGCACAGTTTGTGGTGACAGCACTAGCCAAGCAGCCTTAAATGCCCCCCCCCCTACTTACACAGCAAAAGTAGTAAATACAGGCAGTAATGGCAGTACCAAGCAGTTGTTACTTTTAACTCCTCAAGAAGCTGAGCTTAAGAGGATTATTAACTTTGATCAGAAGGAGATCAGGGAGACACTCTGGGATAGAAGTAGTTAGTTAAACTTATAATTCAGACACAAAGAGTTAATATAACGTCATATGTTACAGTAGTCAGCAAGAACATTAGGTAGTCTTTGGTAACATGAGGCAATCACTGCAGCTCTGAAGTGGACAGCAGGGAGAAATAAAGAGTTACCAGAGGAATTATAGTGACTGATTCTTAGTAGGTAGTGCAGAAGTTTCAAAATGGGCAAATGTGGCATGAGTGGATACCAAGCATCAGCACTCAAAATTAAAGGGGCTTAAGTGGATATACTGTTCTAGAAATGCAGGCATGCGAGGGAATGAAAGAGCAGATTTGTTGGCTACAAAAGTGACAGCTTTGGGAGCACTCGTACTGGACAGGGGAGACATTCTGAAGACCATTTATGAACCAGTTCTAATAGAAAACACAAAAATAGATGAAATAACATGTGTAAGAATCTGTGAACGCAGAATTAGGAGTTGATCCGGCAAGGAGGGAATGTATGAGAGGAAGAGCATGATGTGGGTATGCCAAGTGATGTCAATTTTTAAAGTAATCACTCATGGAAACACGAAGAAACTACGAGGAGTCTACTTGGTACTGAAAAAAGTTAATTTAAAAATATACAATAAACTTTAAATTCATTTTGTTGTTGTCAGTAGCAATTAAAAAGGAAAAAAAAACAGAGTATACAGCCAACTAACTATGGAGATTACAGGCAACAAGAGATTACATGTTCTATCTAAATACTGACACTGTCAGAAGTGACAAGAATTCCGAGGACAAGTGCTGTAAAACAAATAAAAACTCATCTCTGTCAACTACACACTCAAGAGACAAAAAAAAATTCCACTGAAGTCACCTTTTTTACGGCCTGTGTGCCAAAGATAGAGAAAATATTGGTCACATGAAGTTAGAACAACATCAACAAGACATACAGTTAAAACAATGCAACATCTGCATTCCAACAGCTGACCCTGCAAGTCACTGGCTTAACAGGTGGCAAAACTGTTCAGCCAAGTATTTCAACATTCTCATTCACACCCTTCTGATCTTGATAATCAGACTGACATCTACTTATTGGCACTCACAGATCTGGGGGGCGGGGGCCACAGACAGGAGGACACTTCTTCTTTTTCAGTGTTTGCTCTTAAAAGGAATTTTCTGTTGTGGTTTACAGCTAAGCTGCAATATTTGCAACTTTTAGTCCAACACACTCAATTTCACATAAACTAATAAGTCACATTTTATGACGTGTATGTAAGGAGGGCAGTGAGTCTTCTGTGGGCCTATTCCTCTCCCCCCCCCCCCCCCCCTAATCCCCACATAGGCCCCCAGAACCTAAATGAGGAACAAACAAACACAACTCTATATCTTTCCTAGTGTATCCTATCTCTACTTCTTTCCCTTGCATTCATAAGTGATAATAAATACATGTCAATCTGTGTATCATGATGTTTCAATGGCTGCCCAGTGAGCGTTTCATTCTACTCTTGTGTGCTGGGGAAAATAACTTTGTAGCCTTACATAAGGCAGAACTCCCCATTGGGCTCCAACAAGCATGTTGTGAAAGTCGACTAATTAGGTTGCCTCCCTTGAAGTCAGAGTACACCTGCCTGCCAGGCAAGGAACCAATAGTCTGCATAAAAATAAGACAGATCTGTAAAACAGATGTACACACAAATTCTGGAGTGGGACTAAAGTCAGGAAGTGGGATGAACAACCAGAACTTTCCGCTGCATTTTTCAGCTGGTGAACATGAAGAAGAAGAAGAAGAAGGCAGACACCAAACCTTGACTTGTCTAACTAAAGTTGTGAGCTTTGTGGCCTGCTTTAACCTGTCGTATCAAAGAGCTCAGCCTGGCAGATAATCATTTCTACAATGTTCATTTGACACACGAAAGCTGCCAATCTGACAGTCAGACCCAAAGACTTTATTTGCAAGACCACAGCTGTCAGTCTAACTGACAGTCACATACAGAGTTTTGATTTGCCAGATCAAAGCTGTCAATTTTGCAGACAGACAAACTCACAGCCTAGATCTGACCATAGCATTTTATTTTATTCCTAGCGTATCATTTTTTTAAAATATGCACTTTTCAATGTGGCATTTATCATACAAGCTGCCTTGGCTAAACAACAACGATTATTCTGACCATTCTGGAACATCAAACTATTAAAATAAACACACATTTATCACCACTATACAAAAGCAAACATAAATACGTGTTTTATATTCACTTCACATGTAAACAGTAATAATAAACACTCATAAATCCCACAGGAAGAAGCAGGGAATCAGTTTATGCTTCAACACTTTACACAAGAAACTTAACAGGGAAAATAAATAGTAATCGTACATAAGTCTTTTAATAGTTGTTCCTGTGCCTGTGCTTTACTTTTTTACTGGAAAAATAACTGCATTATGTCTGAGCACAGCTGATGTATTTGTGCCTTTCTGCAGCTGAACCTCGCTTCAGTATACAGAACTTCTTATTCCTCACAGGCTGCTCTTTTAGAGACCAGCAAAATGCAGCCTGTAGATCTGAGACTCTTGTCTCCACACAATAAGAGGTCTAATCTATTTGCATGGTGCCAACAGCTACTTAGTAGGCCTTTTTATTTCTTTTTCTGTGTTTGTTCTTGAATAGGTAGTTGACATACTGTTTTGTAGATCACAGCTAGACAACCCTTAATTAGTATGCCATTTATTTCTTTGTCTGTGTTTGTCCTTAAAAGGGCACTTGATATGCTATTTTGTAGATTACAGCTGGACGACTCTTAATTAGTATGCCATTTATTTCTTTGTGTTTGTCCTTAAAAGGGCACTTGATATGCTATTTTGTAGATCACAGCTAGACAACCCTTAATTAGTATGCCATTTATTTCTTTGTCTGTGTTCGTCCTTAAATGGGCACTTGATATGCTATTTTGTAGATTACAGCTGGACGACTCTTAATTAGTTGTCTTTGATGACTTAATTCTAATCTTATTATTTTTCTTAAAATGAGACTCAGAAACAACAGAGTATCAGAGTCCTTTAGTAAATTTGGCATGGTTTTCTTAAAGAAACTTGACTGGACAGCAAGCTTCTCTTTCATAGTATTGATTCAATGTTTAACAGGACACATATGGTAGACATCTGAACCGTTTTGGTATTCAACAGGATTTTCATTGACAGACTTTTAATAATTTAAAACTGAAATCTTAACTTTTGAGGATTACCTCTACACCTTGAAAATTTGCGGAAAAATAAACAAGAGAGTTTAAAGCTGAAGATTACCTTCGATCTTTGCATATTCTGATATTCTGGTATAGTTGACTAAAGCGGCATTTTCCAGACATTTCTTGATAACATGCCTGACTTCTTCTGGGGGCACTGGAGTGACAATGTCCTTCATTAGCACCTAAACAAATAATAATGACAATTAGAAATGGAAAGGACAGGCCAACAAAGAACATCAGAGTTAATGGACAGATAAAAGAACAAGTCACAAGCTTCTCTTATTTTGCTTATGTAATAGATGTCATAATTAAATGCTACAGGAAGTTTCTTATAGCATTATGGATCAAGAAAAGGAAAAATTGTACATACTTCCTAGTTTATATACTAGAGGTTTTAAGGGAGATGCCAACATAATTTAACAGAGATATACCACGACAGTTACTAAAATCGCATCTGTCTTCCTGTTTTTATAGTCTTATAATGGTAGCAGCTCTCAATTCATTCTTGAGGCACCCACTTTTCATGCCAACATTGACATGGAATCTTGTACAGCTCCAAAAGGATAGCAAAACCAAGCTCGGGTGAGATAAAATACCATGTTTTTTCTATTTGTGTGCTTTTGTGTGTGTAGGTACAAGGTTATGATTCATATGTTGGGTGTGTTCCCTAAGCCTTGTGTACCCAGCGAGACAACACCTAACTGAGGCGGGCGGTAGCTGTCCAACGAGACTATGAATGTCTCTCTCATTGTTGGAAGCAGCCCCTGGCACCTTGCTCTACACCTGAGTACAGGCTTATAATCGGCAACTGATGCTTCCTAACTTGTGTCAAAGCTGTAAAACAAAAGTGGAGTAACTTTTCCAAGTCACAGGCCTGGGCATGCTGAATTGGAGCACAGACTGTTGCCAAGGCAGCAGGCACTACTCTATTTGTCGCCAATAATGCCAAGGCAACAGCAAGTGTCAATACAGCTTGGCACCAAAGGTATCTGCAGTACACTGTGTGTGTGCACGTGCCCACATGTGAATGCATGGGTATGTGCACATCATGTATGTTTGTGTGTGTTCATTCATTTACCCTTTCTAGAAGTGACAGTGTTGCTTTCAGGGCTCCTTCTGGGCGTCCAAATGGAAAACAATATCTGGAAAAACATACAACAATTTTATTACAATCTATTATAATGTTGCTCAGACAACAACATTAGTTATATAATCTATTACACTATAACAATTGTTTTTAAAAAGGACCATTTTCCAAACCTTCAGGCGGGCATATATTTTATAGACCAATCGGCGCTTGGTGGGAGATGTGGTCAACATCACGGCGGCCACCTTTGCTTCCCAAGACAGCACCTGGTACACACCTGAGGTTTGGTTGACCTGGGAGCCAACGTCATTTCTGAAGAAACCCAGGTTCCATCAGAACCCAAACTCACAACCTTCCGATCCACAGGCGAGCGATGCTATGATAAACTCAAAATAAGCTAAAGGGGAAGTCAATAAGTAAGTCAAAAGTGGTTATGGGGTGGCAGGAAAATGTAGTTGGTTGTTTCTAAAGGTGTCATTAGCTGATAGCCACACTGTACTTTATGTCTTTGTTCATTAGGTGGCGCTAAATGTTGCATGCAACCCAGAAACAAAATGGCGACTGTAACGGAGTGTATCCTCAAAGAACGTGCTGTTGCGCAGAGGGTGGCGGAGATGATTAAAGGTGATAGGCGAGTAACGGCTGACTCTGTAGCAGCTACAGTAGGGTGCTCACATGGTTCAGTATACAACATAAGACAGAATTGATTGAAATTTAAGAAAGTAAACTCAAGGTAGGTGCCCAGATAATTGACAGACGAACACAAAATGAACTGAATAGGCCTGTCTTTGCAGCATCTCTGTTGATTTGCAGATGAAGGAGAAGACATGGCGAACAGGATTATTACTGGGGACCAATCATGGGTGCTCACTACCAGCCCGAATCAAAGCGTGCTTCAATGTAAAAGAAACATCCTTCTTCGTCTTGTGTTAACAAATTCAAGGTAACGCCATCAGCAGGGAAAGAAATACTGACAGTGTTCTGAGATTGTCAAGGACTGCTTTCAACCAAAAAAAGAGGTGACATTGTGAATGCCGGTTCACAATGTAAAGTTCTATTGATGCTTCACGATGCATTTAGAAGAAAACGTCCAGGCCTGCTGATTAAAGGTGTATTGGTCCTTTATGACAACGCCAGAACATTAACAATCTAGGGTGGGAGCTTCTCGAACATCCCCTTACAGTCCCAACTTAGCCCCTAACCCTAGCAATTTCCACCTCTTTGGTCCACCAAAAACCCACCTTAGCAGGAGACATTTTGCGAATGAAACAGAAGTTGACTGTGAAGTTAAAATTTGGTTTAAAAAACAGAGCACACAGTTCTATGCAGCCGATTTGGAAGGACAAATAAAACGACGGGACAAGTGCATCAATGTTGATGGAAATTATTTTGAAAAATTAAGGGACTGTGTATGTGTAAACATAAACAGTTTTTAAGTTGTTATTGTATTAATTCTTTTGTGTGTTAACAAGCATTTGTGACTTACTTACTGACTTCCCCTTAGATAATATCCACTCAACTGGTTTGTTCACACCAGTTAGTCATCTTCTACAAAATATCAGACATGTGTCATGCATGTTTGAAACCAGTTAATATAAAGACAGCAGTTACAATATGGCACAATGATTAAAGTAAGCAAAAGTGTCCACTACAACTGACTGTATTAAGACAAGATCTTTAAAGTGAGCATAACATTGTCAGTTACAATCTACTGCATAACGACAAAGTCAATAAGATTAGCAAAATAATGCCTATTACAATCTGCCAAACTGTAACAAAGTCAGGAGATCAATATAAGTAAAGCACTCTTTTCCTGACCTTCAGGCGTATTGGGTAAATAGTACTAGACCTATTTTTGATAGACCAATCGGCACTCGTGGGTGATGTGGTCAACATCATACTGGCCACCTTTACTTCTCAGGATTTAACCTGGTACACATTTTAGACTGAGTCGACCTTGCAGCCAAGGTCATTTTTGAACAATTCTGGCTCGATTTGAACCTACAACCTTTGGGCCTGAGGCGAGCGTCTAGTTGACCACGAAGACTACCTAAGATTAGAATAACAGTGGCATTATGACCTGCATGGAGGCAGGGAGAAGAAAGAATAGAGAAAATGAGAGAGGAGAGCGACACAGAGAGAGGAGGGGGAGGGATACATGGTCATATCTTGGCTAATGAAGAAAACCTGCTCCATAATCATATTTGTTAGCCCCAATCTTTGTTAGCTGAAATGTGATTCATGTAAAAATTAAGCTCACAATACGGCCACATTATGTTAGTGTGCACATTCAATAAATCATTTATTAGCCAAATTTAAATTTATTAGCTGAGGCGGAAAAACATAAAAATGTCTCTGTCAGCAACAAAATATGTTACCTGTGTCACTCACTAGCTGAGGTATCACAGTATATACTTACACATACATAAACACTAAAATATTACCGAAAATGAGTAATCTGGTTTTCTAGAAGCACTCTCAATCTTTCTTTAATCTCATCGAACATGGTCCTTTCTGCTTGCAGTACTGTGCCAATTCCATCAGGTCTTTTCAGGAACAAAAAGAATATACATTTCATAACACATCTTGCATATGGAACATACAACATATCACATTAAAACAGAATTATGTACTGGGCACTGCCCTCATATGGACACCAGTAGAGAAAAGAAAACAGGGAAGACCAAGAGAGACCCTGTGTAGAACCAAAATCAGGGAAGGCTCAACCATGGGCATAATGAACATTAAAGACCCAAAACAGGTTCCAACGAAGCGCCAGACACGGAGAGCTATGATCTCTGCCCTATACGCCGCCTAAGCCCAAGAGGAAAGACTAACTAACTGTGCCGTAGAACTGAGGCAGTGGAGTGGCTAGTGTGCTTGACTACAGATTGATGAACAACTGAAAGATATGAACAACACGGACACTGAAGAATGCTACCATAGAGTTTTTAATTATCAACCCAACTCTGACTGCAGGTAACTTCACAGCCCGAATATTAACAGTGCTATTTGGTTGAAAAGGGTTTCTGGGATTTGTACCTGTGTGATTCTCATCCTTTAGATGTTAAATCCTATAGCCTGCAATCATGGAGCGGAAAAATACAAATAAAAAGACACTGGAGACAGTGAATTGTTGTTAGTCTCTTCTTCTGCCTTTCATATCCTAATGGACCCACACACACAGAAATTAAAGCAAATCACATAATGTAACATTCTCTGGGCAGTTTTATTTAATTTCTTTAGGATTCAGACAACATCTGGATTAATGTTTTAAAAGGCTATGTGACCTTATCTGTATATGTTCATATAGCTGTATCAGTTTTGTTGTATTTGTGTATGCTGATAAAGACTTTCTAGCTGCAACAATCATTCTGTCTCTTGTGTCTGTGTTTTTGTAAAGTCTACCTTTTCCCGTCTACATGTTATCGACCGACTCACAGAATAATCCAGCTTCAATGCAGTTTTAACTCATTTCATTTAAAGTTACAGCTATGCTTCTGGTCCACTATGACAGATAGCTGAGCTGTTAATTAAATGTGCCATGAAGGTGTTTTTTTTTCTGCCTCTGGTCACGATTTGGTGACTCAATTTCCTCATATCTGGACTTAAAAAGTATATGGTTTTGTTCACTCAGCTGCAGAGCTGAGTACTTGGTTAGACACTGTGAGCTGCAGATATCATGTAAAATGCTTTTCGTCTGTGCCTAAGGTAGTTTGTGTTGTGAACTGTATAGTCAGAAAATGGTTGCCAAAGAACTAGCAGGTCTTGTATGCATAAAGAAATGTGCAACTGCTGGTTTGTTGTGACTGCTGCTTCCATCAACGACCAACTGTAATTCCTGTGCAGGATATTTAGTGTTGGTACACTGTCATCTGCCTTATGCACGAGCATGACGCTTATTTTACAGGACTGCAGTCTGTTTAATTTTTCACATAGGACAGTGATGGATAATTTGTGTGGTCTCATTGACACGGGGGGGGGGGGGGGGGGGGGGGGGGGGTATCAATTTTGGGATGACTTGTTTGCTGTGAAGATAGAACCGTGAGTAACTAACTAACTAATGACTAACAACTGTTACAATACTTTACTGCCACAACATTACACTACTTTACTATTACTAAAAGGCATTACTTTTACAACAGCATGTTACTTTACTGTTGCAATACATATTTCAACTCAGTGTGTGGGTCCCAGGACCCCATGAGGGGGGGTGGCGGTTTAAAAAAACAGAGCCATGCCTCCCCCGCCCCAACAAGCATGTTGTGAAAAGAAATCAGCATCAACACAGACAAATGTTGCACCACACTCTTCACTCTCTTCCCAAAGCAAAACGCGGGCATCATCAAAATAAACGGAATATCCCTAAGAGATGATAAAGAGCCAACGTACCTCAGAGTCACATTTGATGACAGGTTGACATGAAGAAAACATATCAACAAGGCAGCAACCAAAGCCAGGAGGAAGACAGCCATACTAAGAAAACTAAGTGGAACCACATGGGGAGCCAGTGGGAAAATAATAAAGTATACAAGCAGAGCATACAACCACTTGGAATATGGGTCAACTGCATGGTGTTCAGCATCTAGTACCACATTAAAGGAGTTGGACAATGTGCAAAATCAAGCACTCAGAGTCATCACAGGAGGGATGAAATCAACCCCCATATTAGAAATAGAGAAAGCTGGGAAAACTCAGGCACTGAGAGAACGCAGAGATACAAAGTTGCAAATACAAGCTGAAAAGTTCCTCAGTATGCCAGATCACCCCATGAAAAATAGATTTCAGAACCTAGCCTTGGGACGGTTAAAAAGAAGCAGCTTTATACATCAAGCAAAAAGAATATGTAGACAAACTGCTGACCTTCCAGAAATTGGTTGTCCACTTAACAGTATTCCAGAACAAACCCCATCAAGAGAGAAATGCAAACTAACAGTACAAATCCAGACAAATGTGAAAGGAATATTTGACAAGAAAGAGCAAGATAGTGTACAACGCAGAATGGCCACCCTCAGTTATATTGATGAAGAATACCCACAAGAACAATGGGTCAGAGTCTATACAGATGGGTCCGCAGAAAGTGCAGTTAGAAATGGTGGCGCTGGAGTGTACATCGAATTCCCAGATGGTACTAGGGATAAGTCCAGCGTACCAACCGGAAAGTACTGCCATAACTATGATGCAGAAACTCAGGCTATCAAGAAAGCAACAGAGAAACTGCTAAATACCAATCTTGGCTCACAGTATGTGGTAATGCTGACAGATGCAAAATCCGTACTTGAAGCACTCCAGTCTAGGAAACTACCAGAATTGCAAACACTGCTGATACAACTTAGCCTTCAGCGAAGATTTGTAATGCAGTGGATACCATCACATTGTGGAGTGCCTGGAGATGAGAAAGCTGATCAACTGGCAGGAGAAGGTGTGACAAAAGTGCAGCCGGATGTACCAGTCACATACCACCAAAAGAAAAGAATCATTAAATCAATAAGGAAACCACCAGCACCAGACGACTATTTTATTATGAACAGATCAGAACAAGTCATTATCCTCCGCCTCAGAACAGGGCACAACCGATTACGTAACCACATGTACACAAAATTTAAGATAGGCCTATCAGCCATGTGCACCTGTGGAAAGGTGCCCCAGACAGCAGAGCATGTACTCCAGGACTGCACCGAATTTGACACATTAAGGCAAACCTTTTGCCCTGAAAGAACAACAGTGGAACGTAAACTCTATGGACCACTGAATGAATTAACAACAACAGTGAAATTTATACAAAAGACAAAATTGCTGATATAGACAACTTATTTCAGGCGAACGAAAGAAGAAGAAGTGAAAAGAATCTTATATTCTGCATCACTAGTAGTGTGTTGCCTTCACAGTCTAAGTGCATATGATAGAGAAGCAAGGAACCAAATATCTGCATACCAATAAGCCCCACCTGAAAAATGGATGCAGATGCACACTCAAAACTCAATTTCTGATAGAAGTCTATAGTCCAGAAGTGGACAAACAACCATACTTTCAACCGGAGTTCACAGACGGTGAAGGCTAAGAAGGCAAGGAGACTGTTGCCACAATACACTACTTAACTGTTACAACGTGACTTTAGTATTACAATACAGCTACTTCCCTGTTACATTACTTTACCTGTATGGGTTCTGGGGCCCCATTTTGGGAGGGGGGCGGGGGGAGGCATAGACCCATTGCTCTCTAACAAGCAAGTTGTTAAAGGCAACTAACTAGGACTGTTTCCTTCAAAGTATGGATGCAACTGTCTGAGAGGTGAGGAACCAACAGTCTGCATAGAAATAAGTCAGGTATGCTGAAAATGAATGTGCACGCAACAGTCAAGTTCTGGAACCAGATCAAAATCTAAAACTGGATGAACAACCAGAACTTTCCACTGGAGTTTACAGCCGGTGAACGCTAAAAAGAAGAATATATTACTTTACTGTTAGAACAATACACTACTTTATTTATGGATTTTGCTCTAATAATACATTACTTTAAAATAATACCTATTTCCATGAACATGTGAGGCACAAAAGGCAAAGCTGTAATGTATCAGAGTAGGATCAATGAGGATTCCTTTCTCCGCCCTTTCCAGCAAGTCATTCAGGTAGCATAGGTGTCTGTGGCAGCCTCGGACACCATAGCGAGAGCAGTACTCATCCAGGACAAACACCTGCCCAGGGCTGAACCAACCCTAGCAATGGAAGTTTACTCATTTCCATATCAACTTGTAAGAAACAAGATTTGTTTAAAAGGCACATCATATTATAGTTATTTGTGTGCGTGCCTGCGTTCTGTGTGTCTGGTTTATGTGTGCGTGTGTGCATGCATCCATGTATGTGTTCATGTGTGCGTGTGTATGTTTGTGTGTTGGGAAGAAGGGTAAGAATGGAGTGGTGTGTACAGATGTGTGTGTGTGTCTGTGGGTAAGTTTGTGTGTCTGGGTGTGGGTCATCAAGCATGTGATGCTAGGTATATTTTTACAGACCAATCAGCACTCGATGGGTGATTTGGTCAACAACACACCAGCCACCTTTACTCTGCTCTGCTACCGTGGCTCTTGGATGGCTTTGCATGTGGCATAACTGGGACAAGAATAAAAACATGATGACTGACTGACTTTCTACCCCACCAGGATATCACACAAGCGATAAACACCCGATGACACAAAGTGCCACCATGCGGATGAGGATCGCCGTGAAGAGGTCCCAGAAACCGCGTTCAGACATTTGGCCACATGTAAGGCCTGCCTATATTGCGGCCCCTGGCAAAAGCCAGAGTGGGGCTTCAAATAACAAAAAATTACGTCCTAAAAAGGACGTAAGGATATTGTCACTCTCAAACATGATCTAGGGCTAGTGATCCCATATGGGTTCATCAAGGTAAAGATTTGACATTATAACACTCAAGACATGCACCCACATTAGCTCCCTGTACCTCAACAGGCATGGGCAAAATTTCCATCTGACTGTCCCCACCTGTGACCTCTGAATTCATGCGACCAATTTCATACAAGGAAAACCCGACTCCACCTTCCTGAACATGTTTTGTGAATCCGATACCACTATATAAGATGGTGAACCATTATCTCCCTTGCTTACTGGATTGGTACATGATGATTATGATCAATTTAGCTGTCGTGGTTTTGGTGTTTCTAAAATTATATCTCTGCCTAGATGCTCGCCTCCTGGCCAAAAAAGTCAAGCGTTTATATCATATTATGTTTATGTTTAAACAACTGATCAACATCATGGCACAAGGGTGGTAACCAATAAGTGCTCCATTCTACTTCTAACTCAAGACTGAGTCCAAAGAATCTCAGCATAGTGCACAGGCTCTGTAGCACCAGTGAGGATCCTGAAATACTTTGGGTAGATTTTTAACTCCAAATGTTTTTCCCAGGCAGCGCTGTTAGGCTACTTTTTTCTATTTCCGACCAAGTGATTTTTAATGTGTGCAACAATACACACGGGCGTCTGATCTTACTATCCAGAGACCAGGGGAAATTACTAGAGGTCGACGTGAAAAACTCCCACCCTTCACTAGCACTTGAACCCAGAACCTCAGCACTCGAGGTGGATGCCATGCCTCGAGACCTCTCAGCTCCCCCATCCGCATCACCTTTTGAGCGCTGAACTGGTCTTTATAAAGTATGTCCATATGCCTGCTGCGTCAAAGGTGTGGAAAGAGCTGACTGACTGACTTTCTACCCCACCAGGACATCGCACAAGCTATAAACACCCGATGACACAATGTGCCACCATGTGGGTGAGGATCACTGTGGAGAGGTCCCAGAAACCGCGTTCAGCCTTTAGGCCATACTTTTGGTTAGGTTATATTGCGGCCCCTAGCAAGAGCCAGAGTAGGGCTTCAAAAAAAGAAAAATTTCATTCTAAAAGGGACGGTAAGTTCGGCAATATGTGGAAAGGGTCGTTTACCTTACTTTTATATCTTTGCTTGTAAACTATACCTTATCTTTGTTTCAAAAGATCTGAGTGGGTTTTGGGGCCCCAATATTGGGGGTGGGGGGGGGGACCCATCGCGCCCCCACCCCCTCCCAAAAAGCTTGTCACAAAAGTAGACTAATTAGGGGCGTTTCCTTCAAAGTAGGCTGATAGACGAGGAAACAACAGTCTGCATTCAAACAAGCCAAATCTGTAGAACAGATGTGCATGCAAAACACACGTTCTAGAAAAACACTTACACCCAGAAGTGGATGAACAACCAGAACCTTCTGCCTGAGTTTACAGCAGGTGAACACAAAGAAGAAAAAGAGGACAACTTCAATAGCATTCCTCTTTAACAAAGTTACTGAACACTAACAACTATGATGGTAGGCCAGTGAATTACTCACAGAGCCAGGAAGAGTCAACAGCAACTAGCCAGCACAGCTACTTACTAAACAAGTGTAGGCATCACTCAGCCTGTAGTCCAAGGTTAAGGTCTGCAGCATGCTAAACAGCTCATGGTGTTCAAAATTGCAGGGGTTGGCAATCACAAACTCATCCAACCCATGCTTGCGTGCTCTGTCTGCATCTATGGTGAGGGGGAAAAGATAGCCAAATGTTCACATACAACTTGAAAAAAATGCATGCCTAGATGCACAAATATACGTACACACACATGGTCTTCAAATAACATTGCACTACTTATCCTGCATTTTTCTCCTGACATGTTTTGATGAAACAATGATAACCTTATTTTGGATAAGACATAATTTTGAGACAGCCAAATGCTCACATTGTGCATCTTATTCTGCATGTTATCTATCTTCCTGTATTACCTTTTGTCCTCTGGACAGGACAATATCTGAGAAAGCCAGATGTTCGTTAACAGCTGGAAGAAAAAACACACAAGCAAGAGTGCACACACACACACATGCACGTGCAGACATGCACACACAAACAAGTAAACAGACACAATTTTTTAATGTATACTCTACTTCTTATTCCATATTCTATCTCCCAGCATAACATGAAACAACTCACATCATAACCTCCATTCTTGGGATAAGACATAATTCTGGACAGCAAAATGTTCAAATACAACTTGAAGAATATGTGCACACACACACACTCAAGCATGCACACACATGGACACACAACAGTCTTTAATGTACTACTTTTACTCTACATTTGATTCGCCAGTATGCCCTGAAACAACAAACATCATAACCTCCTTACTTTAGATACGGCATCATTTTGTAACAATTAATAGCACAACCAGATCTTTCCTTGGGTCGGTATGCAACGGTACACAATCCTGGCAATTATTCAGGCATCACTTTGTTATCACTACTGTAACAGTCATTTTGTGGTGAGTACCAGCACCTTTTTTTTTGGGTCAGAAAAAGCCCTGAGAAATGTCTTTTTCTGCAATCCACAAAGCAAATAAATAGGGGGGTGGGGGGGACTTAGAGGCAAAATAAACTGATGCTGAGATGAAAAATATGAGGTCATGGAAGGATATACAACAGTACATCTTTGTTTCCAAAAATATACTTAACATTTATTCCAAAAGAAAATGCTTATTCTAAAATGGGAAGCCTGGTAGCGTAGTGGCTAGACACTAGTCTGCCGACCCAAAGGTCTTTAGTTCGCATCCACATGAGGTAGATTATTTTTTAAATTACCTTGTTTTCCAGATTGACCCAGCCAAACAGGGGTACCAGGCAATGTCCTAGGAAGCAAAGACAGCCAGCGTGGTGTCAACCACACCACAATCGGACAGCCAATTGGTCAATAAAAATATGAGTCTAGCATTATATGCCAAATGTGCCACTGGCCTATCAAGGATAATTTACTTTGTACTTATTCTGAAATAAAAATTCTTGTCTTCTTATCCTTAGTTACTCCTGAGATCTCATAATATTTGTTGAAGGACTGCTACATGATATCTCTGTCAGTGAGATTTCTTTGTTCATCAGCTCTTTTGATACCAGCTTAATAGGATGAGTTAAAAATAATAATATTTTGAGACGGAATGAGATAAAGTAACAAACTATCAGCCTTCTCATTTCCTTCCATGACATCATGCCCCGGCCTGAAAATGAAACTAACTCTCAGCCGTGAACACCTCTGAAACACCAACCACTGTCTTTAGATGCAGCCCGTCTCTTATCTTCTTGAGCATACACACTGTTTCACTGAAAAAAGCATGCACTGGCAAAGGTCTGTGTCTCCAGCCATGTTATTGCTTTTGTCACTGCCATGACCTCCAGAGTCAGACTACCTATCATGTAGCCATATCTGACTTCCAGAGTCAGACTACCTGTCATGTAGCCGTATCTGTTCTCCAGAGTCAGACTACCTGTCATGTAGCCGTATCTGTCCTCCAGAGTCAGACTACCTATCATGTAGCCGTATCTGACTTCCAGAGTCAGACTACCTATCATGTAGCCGTATCTGTCCTCCAGAGTCAGACTACCTGTCATGTAGCCGTATCTGACTTCCAGAGTCAGACTACCTGTCATGTAGCTGTATCTGTCCTCCAGAGTCAGACTACCTATCATGTAGCCGTATTGTCCTCCAAAGTCAGACTACCTGTCACCTAGCCGTATCTGTCAAATGTTACTAACTCTGACTGCCAAGCAGGCCGACATACATTTGTTGTTTAGTCCATATCCCAGTGAGGGTTCCAAGGCCCCCACTTTAGTTGCAAAAAGAATAGATAGACTGCCCTTTCCTAACAAAAGTAAAAGGCAACTAATTAGTGGGCTTGCTGAAATTGATTAAGGGCAGAAAGATTCAGACACCCCAGCCTAGCTGTACATCACAACATGTGTCCTTTTAAGGGAGAACACAAAAGAAGAACAAGAACAAGAACATGAAGAATACGAAGAAGGTTGGTCCAGACAGAGCACTCTCTGCAGACCGTTTTCTTTCTTGCAACAATAGTTGCTAGAACAAATCATTCTATCAAAATAGTTAGTTTACTTGCTTCTTCCTCAGGGAATTGTTCTGATTCCTTTAGAGCCAAACAAACTGCTTGCTTTAATGAAAAACTTCAGGAAAGATGGACAAGTATTTACAGGCTGTGACTAAAAGAGTCAATGACCCAAGAAACTAAACAGGAAGGCTGGCTAACTAACCCAGGCAGCAAATGCCTGCAGAAGTCAAATGTGTCAGCTGAAAGGCACAAATATCACAGTCATAGTGTAAATTGGCACAACGCATTTAATTCCTATTTATAATCACTATTTTCACAACACCTTTAACATTATGATCATCATCCTCATTAAAACACACTAGGAAAAACATACCCAACCAACAAAAAAAAATAATAATAATAACTACAAATTATACATTACTGATTAAAAAAAAAGAATAATAAGTTTTAATAATAACAATAATAATAATAATAATAATAATAATAATAATAATAATAATACAAAGGTGGTTTGAAAAGTAAAGCCTCCAGGGAATAACTTTGTTAATACACATAATGTACAAATGGATACATTAAAAAAAAAAGTCATTGTTAGCCTACTCATGAGTGTGTGAGTATTAATTATCATGTTGAACAACAGCATGTTTGCAAAGTAAAAATGCAGCAACCTTGCTCCTAGTTTCTGCAACGTTTCCACATAGCGATCAGAGTTTTCAGTATTGCCCTTGTTTAAAAATTCTGCTTGGATTACGCCCTGGCAAATATACAGTTCTTTATTTAACATGACAATGCTTGCCTACACATAAGCAGACAAATGACGATAATAGAGCATCTTAACTCTGACAAATTTTGGCGCATGCAGCACATAGTACCAATCTGGCACCTTGTGATTTTTTTGTTCCTATTTCCAAAACTTAAGAAACATCTCAAGGGAGACAGACCAGGAAGTGAAAACTCATGTGCACTCCTGGTTTTGTAAAAAAAAAAAAAGGCTTTCAATATTTTTTCTTTATGTGTTTCGAAAACCTGTTCTACTCTGGTATCTGTGTGGAACGTGGTGGTAACTACATTGAAAACTAATGGCACCTTATTTAAAGTACATTCCAAGCTTTCGGAAAAGGTATATTTTGTGTGTACATTGTGTATATTAACAAGGTTATGTCATTGGAGACATTACTTTTTAGACCGCCCCAGTAAAAAGGAAAACCACTACTATTGCAAGACAGTATCAATTCAGATGAACACTGCCACTTGTTAAACTCATTTAAACAAGAGGCAATTGAAAGGAATAAGCCAGGGACAGGAAAATAAATGCTACAAATGGACATAAATTACGGCACATCATTACCATTAATGACAAATGACTCTACATAACTGTTGAAGGGTGGGTTGGTCTCTTAAGCTGAATGGAACAAATTAATGAAACAAATCTGATGCCAGCAGCTGCTAAACCAAGCTTTTCTAACTGGTGGGTTGTTTATACAAGCTACTTACGCCTGGTATCAGTTTGGCTTTCTAGAAAAAAAAAAAATGGTGATAACAATAAAACTATGGCATACTGAACAGAGGTCAATAGCAGGGCTGATGAAACAATACTGGGTGTTTTAAACAGACATTATAAACACAGGGGCGATTGTATTATCTATATCTTCTTCATGTTGTTGTGGACACCTAAGGCATTCACAAGTGAGATTGTATTATAGCTAGTATTTAAAGAATGAATTGCCATAATCCCAGTAACACTTTACAAAAGTGGGCCAACTACCTTGTCGGAATTCTATAAAAAAAATATTTAAATAATTTTACACAGCTCAATAATAACATCTTTTTAAAAAAAAATATTTATGTATTTTTTAAATCTACAATAATAAACAAAATATAAAAAAAGTTTTCAATAAACACAAAAAGAGTGAAGCATTCCTTGAGGTCTATACAATATGTATTGGATGACCTAAAGACTTCTATCATTGAGGTTTACAGGAAAAGCAGACATCTTTATAAAAACTATTTAGTTCACAGGAAAACCCTTCTATGCTATGTTTAGCTAATATATTCCTGTCCTGATCTCCTGAGCATTTGTGCAGACCTGAACTCGGCCAACAGCATTAACTATGTGTCTCGTAAACAAATCACTGTAGATAAATCAGGAAAGTGAATTGTACAGGGAAGCAGACCCAACTGGAAGTGTCGGTTTTAGGGTTTCTCGGGGCAACAGGGTAATACCAAGACTAGAAAGCTCAACGAGGGAAAAAGAAAAAAACAGACACAGAAACATCTGTTTGTTTCTGTGTGATCTTTCTTTCATTAGGCTTCCTAGTCGGTTAAGGCATTCATTTTTGTTTTTCAAAACAGAATATTGGTAGTTTAAATACAGGTACATTTATTCTTCTTCACTTACTCTTTCACTGCTTTGCGCGTTGAGGGAGATATAAGGTTCTGGCTCTTGCTCTTATGGTCGCCCCGACCAGAGACACACTGTGCTGCTTTAAAGCTTCTCTGGAGTTATCTCTCCTTCTTGTTCTCTGTCTACCCTGTGGTTTACGTTCAACTCCTCTTTTGGTATTTGCCTTGTTTGGTATGGTGTCATAAGGAACTCTCTCTGGGTAAACTATTCTATTTGCCATCTTTGTCTGTAACTTAATACTGTTTCTGGTGCATATTTTTTTTTATTATTCTCTAACTTTATTAATGAATACTTATGAACAACAATATATTTGGAAGGAAACCAGAATTAAAAGTTGGGGGGGGGGGGGGGGGGGGGGGCTGATTTAAACAGCAAGAAATATTAGCAAATACATGTCAAATATAACCTCCTCTTTCTCCCAATCCACACCACCAACTTTAATTCACATGCACACACACACACAAATACCCAAATGGATGTTAAACCCTGCATGGTAAAAAATATTCAAAATGCATGACAGATGGCTGCACCAGTTGCGAACAATAATAAATAATGGATAAATATTTATGTGCATGTTAACTCTTTTGTACTCACATACATTTCACTCACACTTTTTACAGAGATAAAGTATAAACGGAATTTAAAAGAAATAAAAGTACATAAAAGTAGCTTCATGGCACAGGCTTAACTTTACCTATAGGACACGACCTATATGAGACATGCTTTTTACACGTGCATGTCTGCTAATCTTGAAATTAATAAATAAGCATGAGTCACTGCGATTTAAAGATGTGTGCAAGTGGGACACAAATGATACAGGTATTGAGGTGAATTCATAGGAACAAGTAAGATGCCATAGATTGCACTGCGCTGAGGGGAAAATTGGGAACAGAAAATTGACAAAAGAGAACAGGACTGCAGACAGATGAAGAGCTGAGAGTCTGAGAAGAAACATGTCACTTAGAAACAATGATCTTGAAATGTCATGCATTGTGGAAGATTCTTCTTAACATGAGCCGGTCTTGATGGTCACACTCGCTTTGGCTGTGATTTCCAAGCCTTTCTATAACACAATTATCTGCATAGAAGAAAAGATGCCAACAACTTACAGTGCTACTCAATGTGTTAAATGACAACAGACTTGTGTTTCACAAGCACACTCACTAAACTGCACTAAAGTAAATTCAACAATGACCAGAAGAAGATGCACGGTTACAGAACAGACAAGCCAGGCAGATGTTCATAATAGGGAGGGCTACAATTACCTCCTTGCATCCGAGAGATCTGAGTATTGGAAATCTTGTTGGTCTGCACGACTGGTGGGACAGGCTTGTGCGTCTGGCCAGTGGCACGGTAGATTGCCTGAACCCACAGTGTGCGCTCTGATTCATCTTCTGTGGCGAAGGTTAAACTGTCTCCCTCTTTTACTAAATTGAAGAAGTATTTGCCTCCATCTAAATCTGTAAATGATAAACAGACAAATGGTTATTTGAATAAAATATTCAAGTGCAATTTGTTAAGCAAGGAAATGGAGAAAACTGGTCATAGTTGTAGAAGGTTAAACTGTCTCCATTTTCACTGTAACCAACATCATGCCAGCAGCTGCCTTTACTTCCCAGGACTTTACCTGGGTCAACAGGGGAGGGACCCATGGCTGGGTCAACAGGGGAGTTAACTTTTTTACAGATTATTAACTCTTTTTATACTTAGCAATGCATTGTGTGTGGACAGCTACCCTTGATATTTACCACACAATGCATGACTTTAATGGTTATCTTTGATGTCCACCCATAATTATGACATGCTAGATCGGCAATTCCTATGATTACCCATCAGTACGAGATGTGTGACTGTGCTTCTTACATGTGGTCAGTACACTAAAACAATTTTAACAATTATTTTTTTTTAAGGATACATGAAAGCCTAACTCTACACACCCTAACTAACACCTGTTCCTGCCATGGTACTACCTATGCCCTTGAACTCTTTCCAGTTCCAACCAATGCACCATGTGTGATCAACTATTGACTATGTATACCGAACAACCAACAATGTGATCTGATGTTAAGCCTAAACATACTACAGAAATCTTGCTAGTTAATATGTTCCTATATCTGTGACAGTCAGGTTATAACAAGTTATTTTCCCCGTGACTATTGCTACCCTTGAGATTATCATGCAAAGTCTTCTGGTACTTAAGAGTTGAAGTTCAAACACAAATAAATACCTTGATGGGGTTCACAGTAGTCAACAGTGTATCCCTCCAACTGCATCATTTCTGTGGGGTCTGGTTTCTTCTCCCTGTATGAACACATCGCAAATGTGTATTGGGAAACCTGTCAGAGAGTAAACAATATTAATACCATTTTTATGCTCCACTTTCAACATCTTCACAAACATTCACACAACAGTCATTTTCATCTTCTTTTCAGTAATGACAATAACTCTACATTTTTTTATATGAGTGTACAATGTTGCTTTCCTGCACAGAATTGCATGTTTTACTTTCAACATCTTCACAAATATTCACACCAGATGGATTTGACAGTCTATTTTCATCTTCTTTTTAGTTAATGTCTGCAGTATCTGTAATGACACTCACTCTAGTTTATATACATATGTGTACATTGACAGCATTTGTTCATTTCCTGCATAGTTTTTTTATGATGTTTTACTTTCAACATCTTCACAAATATTCACACTAGACGGATCTGACAATATTTTTTTTTCTTCTTTTTAGTAAGTGTCTGCAGTATTTGTAATGACACCAACTCTACTTTATATACATTGACAGCATTTGTTGCTTTCCTGCAGAGTTTTGCATGTTGTTCTATTTTTAATCATCATCAGCAAAGTTTAGTCTAAAAATCTATGCTAAAGTTCAAGTTGAGAGAATCAATGTCACTGCATCAGATCTGATCCCACATGGCTCAGCCTCTCTTAGAAGAATGGCCAGCTGCCAATAACACTGCACAAAGCATGAACTCTGTAGCTCTAGTGATGATCCACAAGGATCTCTGTAAAAGTTGCACTCATGAAGTGAATGGCGCAGCACAGTGGTGAAGTCAACTAATCAACTTATGTATGTCTATGTTTCATATTTTTAGCAGTTCCTTACTTCTTCTTACAGTCCCTGCTGTGTGGCGCTGGTAATCAAGTCTATCCACAACATTTTGTCGCGTATACGTTTTATCAATTCCGACACACATGATCCTTCATGCTATGATGTCAATCTGTCCAGCATCTTCTCTCTTAGCCTCCATCCTCCTCTTTCCCAATCCAACTTTCCTATCGTCACGATGTACTCCAGTTGTCTTCTTCTCATGACATGACAAAGAATATAGATTGGTGGTAGATTCAGCTGGTAGGGAGAGCTTTAGGTTATAATTGTGACTAGGTTATGTGCGCCATCGAAAATCAAGTAGCTCTGAAAAAAACTTTTGCAGTGTTAACATGATCATAGGAGAAGACTCGAATGCTGTCTCAACCGGCGACAAAGTCGTCTACCGGAGAGCCAAAGGTTACCCCATCACCGATGAGAATGCATATTGCCTCCTTTTGTTCTTTTATACTCATTATCATGTGCCATGCAGGTACGTGTAGGCTGTCATGTTTCCCCATCTCCCAGATCATCAGAATCACACAATAAAACTTCACACTTTCAGGTTCCTGTCACACTATCTCTTACTCATCAGGTAGTAAATCCTTCACATAAAGTGGCCCAGGTTTGATCACTAGCAACTAAAAAATACATTTCCACCCAGGCTAAATTAAAATGGATGCCGAACAATTTTTTGATTTTTCAGGGAATCATTTGTCTCTGCCATCACCTTGGTTACAGTAGCAAACAGGAAAACAGAAGAGGAAAATTGCTGTGTTTTATTTTTTTTTATAGGCTTCCCTTCAAGAAATGGAATAAAGTTTAGAGTGCACGGAGATGGAAGGTGGTCAAGTAGGGGGTGGGGTTGGGGATAGTGGGGGGACAGGCAAAGGAGAACTGAATAAGTAAAGAAGTGTGAAGAGCAAGCTGTGGGGAGCCATGGAGGACATGCAAGTTCACAGAGGCAGCCTACCTGACAGTCTGATCTGAGCATATGAAACTCAACGCCAAGAAGAAGAGAAGAAAACTTAAGGAAAAGAGTTGGGTGGAACACAGATGACAAGAAAGAGCTGAACAGGCAGTGAGGGGAGGAGAGAGTGGGACAGGATAAGGAAGAGGAGAGTGGAGGGGGGGGGGGGGTGTGGAGAAGAGAGAATTTAAAATCAGAGAGGGGAAGAGAAAAAAAGAGAACAAAGAGGGTCTATGGATCAAAGAGACAAGACAAGATAGAAATGAAAAGGCAGAAAGAGACATATAACTCTAGAGGAGGAGACTGCTCATGGACCAGAGACAGTTCATATGTAATGTTCTTCTTCCTCTTCTTCTTTCGTTCGCTTGAAATAGATTATATCTGCAATGTTGTCTCTAGTATGAACTTCACTGTCTTGTGTAATTCACTCGTAATTCAACCTGTAAAATTTGGCTTGCACCGGTGTTTCTCTTAGACAAAACCTTTGTCTTGACAAGTTGTATTTGGGACAGTAATCTAAGAATCTTATGCTGAGCTTTGCTATTTATTATTTTGCTGGTGGTAATTTGTAGGTACCTTACCTGGACTAAGACGAAGTATCTCTTTTTCCACTTCTTCCACACCGTCTTTCCCAAAGCATACAGATACCTTCAAAAGAAGCAGTAAATGGATTACCAAGCATGGAGGTTTCAAGTAACACAAACATATATCTTACTAAGATGATCAAAAGATATGGAAATTAACACCATCTTTGCCTAAAATAAGGCAGGGTCATGGGTTAATTTTTGCTCCACAAGATGCTTACTTAGATGTTTTTATTTTTTATTTTCAGGAGACAACTTATTCTTTTCATGTACAAAATTTGAATTTTTCAAAGTACTAAAATACAAGCTTAATCAAGTACTAAAATTCACATTTATTCCAGTACAAAAATCTATAAATTTTTTCAAGCAATTATGTGGTTTTCACTTGATATCTTTTTCTTCTTCTTTTTGTACTCTTGAAATGCATCGCGGCGTCATGGGATAATATACATACTGATAATATGTATACCATGTGTTTCAATAAAAGGTCCCTTTTCCACGCCTTTAGACCTATATTTTTAAAGAACAATCGGCCCTTGGTGGGCAATGTGGTCAGCATTACGCCGGCCACCTTTACTTCCCAGGACTGCACCTGGAACTCACTCAAGGCTGGGTTGACCTGGGAGTCAGAGTCATTTCTGAAAAAAATAAGTCTGGCTCCGCCAGGACTTAAACCCACAACCTTTCAATCCGCAGATCAATGGAAGAATTAAATTTGTCCATCTAGCTGACGATCTTAACAAGGGCTCACATTTATATTATAAACGTCCTGAAAGACCACGCCAGGTTTTTTTTCTTCTTCAGGGAATCGCTGTAACAAATAAGGTAGCTTCGGAGCATAATGGCTAGATGCCTGCCTGCTGGTGTGAAGGTCTTGAGTGCAAGTCATTCAATCTGTGTTTTGCAACTCTTTTAGTCTCAATCAGCTTAGAATTCAACACCTTCATTCCCAAGGAGTTCTGCTTAAAAGCAATACGTATGAAGAGGTTCAGCAGAGACAATATGGGGCAGAAGTAGTAAAACTTCGGATAAAAATTCATCAAATATAATTCAGATAAAAAGGATTAGTATAAAATCAGTCTGTGACAAGAGACAGCAAAGGGGATAAAACTTTGCATTAACTCTGAATGATGAAATGTAAGAAGAATTGCTTGGTTGTGAAAAGAGATAATTGACTTGGGCTGACAGGTTGAACAAGCAACCTAAAATATGATCACGCCTTACCCACAGTGTTTCATATTCTGTGGTTTATCCATACGGACAGCTATTTTGATGCGCAGATCATCAGGGAAGTTCTTAGCCTTGTGCATATGGTACCACTCAGGGGTCCTTGAACTGTTGGCCGTTGGTCTGATCACAACCTGTAAAATCACAGTAGAACTGTAGAACTATTCAATAACAACTAAGTAAGTAGTAAGTAAAGGACCCCATTTAGGTCAGTGTTGCATCAGAAATATGATGCCAGACTTAGAGATCTTTACAGAACAATTGGTACTTGATAGGCAGTATGGTCAAGATTATGCCAGCCATCCTTACTTTCCACTTCAGTAATTTTTTATTTTTTATTTTTAAGCCACATGGTATGGATTCAAACCTAAGAGATTTGCGGTGGCAGGTGAGCATTTAACACAACCACAGCTCCCCAAAACTAAGTTAAAGGTGAAACAGGAAATACTGATAAGAGAAGTCAGTTAAATTTCATTTGTAGGATGTTACACACCAACCCCAGCATTCGTTGGCCATTTGTGGTTTACCAGACAACTTTAGGTTCAATAATTTGCCCTTGCTTCCAGAACAGTTCAAGGCTTGTAGCATTGTCAACATCATGGCAAAATGGTCTGCTGCCGAATCACATGCAGCCGAACATAACCCAATGCTGCATATATTAGACTGTGTCCATAACCCCTTAATTCACATATGCTGACCAAGTAGCATGCACTGAAATAAACATATATTAGGCCAGGACATTGTCAACTAAGGTAATTAGTTTCAGGCCGTTTCTATTTCCTTCTCCTAACTCTCAAATAAACTTAAATGTTATAAGCAATAGAGTCTTCTCCTCCTCCTCCCAGTGACAACATCAAAGGGCTGAGGGAAAATGTGTGGACCTTCTGTGTGCTATTTCTAATGAGATGTATAAGACACAGCCATCATTTTATATATGATGAAATAAGTCTGTTTACTGAATGTTGAATGTTAAATGTTAAATCAAGAATCGACATCATAGCACTCGGGACAGCCCCATAAGTGCTCCGGTCCCATCTTCAGCAGTAGAACAAAGAGTTCCATTTCAGATGGTACCAGTAACTGACTGATTTATTGTTTATTGCCTGTTTATTGTTGCCATCTTATCCATTTCCTGATAGCACAAATTCTGCATTCTGCCAAGGATAAGAAAGAAAAGAACACGATGACACTGTCAGGTTTATGTTTTACAGGCCAACATGTCCAGAGGTGCTACAAAGCTCATCTTAGACAAGAGTTCTTAGCAACTCTTAGCACCATCCTGTCTTTCCTGGCAACAGTGTTCTAATATGGTATAGGCAGGCATGTAAATCACAGCCATTAGAGATGGCGAGTGTGACTAGCAAGACTGGTTCATGATAGAAGAACCTTCCACAATAAGTCTAATTATTTCTACAAATGACCTCTGCAGATTTTGAATCTATGGTTCAGTTTAAGAAAGAACAAACACTGATTTATTTACTGCAATTTTAACAAAGAAAGACCTTCATTAACAGGCACAGACATGAGTATTTACCTTTCCTAACTCCTTATCCTCCAACTTCAACATCCCAGAGCTCTCGGTGTAAAGCTTCACTTTAACAACTGGAAGAGGGTGAGTTGTCACAAAATCACCTTGTGTGTCCCATCTAGGAGAAGTAACAATAATTAAACTCTTTTCTTTTAAAACAAATTTCAAAATTTACAAGTGTGTCCCATCGATAATAAGCAACAATTATACTCTTTTCCTTTAAAAAAAAAAAAACTATATTCTAACAATACACGGTAAAAGACTGCTTCATGACCTTCGGACAGTGACAGGATATGACAGCCGTAATGCCTGATGTGTTAGTGGCTTTTTCTGTGAATACCAACCACTGTGCAGTGTGTTCACAGTATGGCTGTCCAAGTGGCTATAATGTTGGGCTCTGATGCAAGAGACCCGGGTTTGAAATCTCAATAAAGTTACAGAAGATTTTTACTCGGGCAGAAATAAACATCCTAAGCAGCAGTCTGTGTTGACTGCATTAGCCATTCAGCCCTAAATCCTTAGGCCCAAGACACCCCTGTCCCACACACACAAACACTCAGGCTCCCCCACACCAAAAAAGTTGTACAAAAGACAGAATGACAATAAAGTTCATGTACTTTTAAAATTTGGTCTCAGCACACTAAAGAAATCTGGCTTTCCCAGTATTGAGCCACTGACAAATTATGTGTAGTCATGATTTTTCAAAGTTGTTATACAACACCCCCCCCCCCCCCCCCCCCCCCCCTTTTTTTTTTTTTTTTCCGATCATGATTACTCAACTGTCTGGGACTAAAAGCGTCAAAGATGTCTACCCAAGCATGTGTCTGTTGTGGCAGAGTGTTTACAATGCTTGCCAGTCAGGGCGGTGGTCTAGATTCAATCAAAAGCAGAGGCAGGATTATTTGTGTCGACCATACTGACAGCAGATCTACACTGAATGGGCCTAGCTAATTCTGCTGCATGCGGTTGTGATGCACTAAAGCAAACTCCAGAGCAGGTCTTACAAAAATGCCCAGACTGAATGTCAGAACCAATAGATCAAGGCTGCAGGAGTGAACCTATAAAGCAAATACTTAGATACCAGTGAAGATCTCTAGCATACTGCTCTGTTTGTGACTCATATTGGAACAGACTCACAGCAAAATTATTGCTGAAAAAGAAGAAATATTTCGGACAACTCTGCTCTGGAGTCGACCAAGCCTCATTAAATGGCAGATCTGTCAAATGGATGTGCAGGCAAAACCAAAGTTCTTGAACAAGACTCAAGTCCAGAAGTGGACAAACAACCACAACTTTCTGCCAGAGCTTACAGCCGGTGAACAGGAAGAAGAAGAAAGAGGAAAAGAAGAAGAAGAAGTAGTATAGTCTGGGGTGGAAAGACTAAGAAATGGAACTGGTCACCACAGTTTCTATGTTGTGACCTAAAGTGTGTGAAGGTGTGTAAATTACACATTATGATTATCACAATTATTTAAAAAGTACACTTTAAAAATATATATATATAACTTAACAATCTATACTCCTATAATCTGTTATAATTAATACACAATTTATGCAATATTAAAAAACAAAAAGTATCTGACAAGAATAAATATAAAATATTGAAAAGAAATAAATAATATTATATACGCATGCGCACACACGCGAACAGACACATATATCCTAAGTATAATCCACACAGGTTGAACAGGAATATCTTTTTATGTTGATAATTACTAATACTATATGAGTGAGGGCGTAACACGTCACATTGTGACAGCAGAATCTGCAACACTATCTTTACTTACTGTGCATGATTGTACAACCATAGCAAACATGAGAAGACCAGGCCCAAGTGGGCAGAACCACTACTGAACCGAGAGAGAACAAGCAAACAATCCATACCTGAAGATAATGAAATGACTTACTGAGGCTTTGAAGCTTCTGCCTGGTCAGTTTGCAGCTTCTCCCCACCTTCCACATCCATGGTACAGTAGACAATCTTGCTGGGTGCTAGAGATTTCAGCCCCTTGACTTCGATCACATGCACCTATAAATAAAGTTGGTTGTCTATCTGCATGGCTCAATAACCCGGGTACAAACATACAAATAGCAGCCAATATCCTGGCACAGAGAAACCAGGCTACAAATATAACCAAATGCCTCTCACAGTGAAAGCTGTCTGCAGCAGGCTGAATGTGGCCAACATTTTAATTCTTTTCCTACAGTTGGAAATGGAAACTGCATGACTTAGATCATAAAAGCTGGTTTAAATATTGATGCTGTTGCACCTGGCACCTTTTCATCTTTCCATTCGACACTGGTTATAACTTAACCAACGTATGTTAAAGGTCATAAATTAGAACAAGTCAATCATTTCAAAAATTTTGGATCCATTTTGAGTGACCTAGGGTCGATACCAAAAATTATGTCTAGGATTGCTCAGACAACATCAGTCCTTGCCAAGCAGCAAACATTATGGAGATCCAAAACACTTCATGCAAAACAAACTAAGATTTGATTACTCAGATCACTAGCTATTAGCTTATTTATTGTGTTTGTGAAACCTTAACAGCTGAACTAAAAATGAAGATACAAACATTGGATAGGCAATGTTTCAGAAAAATTCTTGGCATATCATACAGAGACCACATTACAAACGAAGAGGTTCACAATATAATTATACAGCACACTGAAAGACGAAAAATACAATGGTATAGACATGCAATAACATCTAACGGCCTCTCAAAAACAATACTGTAGGGATCAGTAGAAGGAAAGAGGAGAAGAGGCAGACCAAGAAAGACTTGGTTACAGAACCTGACTGACTGGACAGGCCTCAAGCATGCAACTATGAAGTCCATCGTAACTGACTGCTAAAGGTGGAGAGAGAGGATCAGACAGACAACAGAAATTGGGGACCCAACTACATGCTGTGTAACGGGATGATGATGATGGTTATACTGTGCTACAGGGAGGCATGAGAATCACAGCTCCTGGCATTGGCAAGGGTGACTACAAGACCTGCTGGTGTTCAGAAGAATCTCCAATAATTTGTAAATGAATTTCAGAACCACTCTTGCCCTCACCTACATCTGACATTTTTTCTCTCAAATACTTAGCTCTCCACCTTCTACAATCCTTTGTTTCTCTTTTGCCTTTATTTCCTTCCTAATCAGATAATAAAATAATATATGAATCTCTCCTTGTGGGTTCTGGGGCCCGACTGTGGGGAAAACAAGAATTGACCTACTGCCTCCCCAACAAGCATGTTTTAAGAGTCTACTGATTGGGCTTCCTATGAAGTCAGAATGCATATGCCTGATAGGCAAGGAACCAACAATCTGCACACAATTAAGTCAGATCTGTTAAATGGATGTGCACACAACACTCAGGTTCAGGAACAAGACTAAAGTCCAAACACGGACAAACAACCCAAACCTTCCGCCAGAGTTTACAGCCAGTGAATGAACACAAAGAAGAAGAAGAAAAAGATATAGGAACCCAAACTATTTCATTCCTATGTATGGTCAGTGTTACTGTCATTTATATACTCCTGTTATCTTTTTTTGGTTTTTGGTTTTTGCACACATAAATCAGAAAAGCTTAACAAACTGAAGGCTATGATCATGTGCCATGCTGACAAGCTTGGCCAGACATGTTTCATTATCTCACAAGATCACCTGCTTTGGATTAGGTCCGTGCTCTTGTCCAGACTTATAGCCATGCCATCCATGTGTCTTCCACTTTGCTCTTTTCTAATCAAACTACATAGTTGTCAGTAACTTTTCAAGTTTACTTCTTCTTATATTATCCTCACGCTATTGTGCCATTATACGTCACATAAAGCTTGCAGTTTATTTTACCATTCCACTCTATCCTGGGCCATTGTTTCAACATCATGGATGGAGTCCGGTCCAGCAGTTTCGGCGTTTCTCATCATGTTTATCTTAGAGTTTCTTTTGGATGTCCTCGATTCCTCACTCCATACGTTTCCCATTGAAGTGTCTGTTTAGTGATTCTCTGTTATCAGATCCAGAGGAGAAGCAAACAGAGAATCACCAAAAAAGCACTTAAATGTGAAACAAATGGATTAAGGAAATGACGACATCCAAAGAAACCCTATGATGAACGTTAAAACAAAAGCTAAATATTTCAGACTGGATTCAATCCACAACACTGAAACTATTGCAAAGGATAGAGCAGAATGGAAGAAGAAATTGTGAACTCTATGTGACGTATAACGTTGGTAGATATTATTACAATGATGACTGGTACCTCTCCATATTTCCAGATGAAAGTGTTATAATGTGCTATGAGGAGACATGTGACTCGCAGCCTATGGCGATGAAGAGTGACCAGTGAGACCCGCCCGCACTAAGAAATATCTTCCATAATTATAGCATGGGATTTCAGGACCTTTGTTGTCAACATCTCTGTTTAGTGTGTTTCTTCTCAGACGCTCATCTCAACTTTTCTGCAATCATTTCATTACAATAAACCGTTATAACACTATCTACTTCTACACTGTCAACTACATTAAAATGACACATTTTCCCAGGTGATCTAACATACCTCTAGAGAAAAGGTCAGGACCACATCCATCTTAGAAAGACCTGGATCGTTGTCTTCGCTAACATCCAACTTTGAAATGGAGGAATGCTGATTTCTGAGAACAAAAATATGTGTCTTTAAGCCTGCTGAATATACAACAAATGCAAGTTCTTGTCACACACAATCATCACTTTACTAACTTCCTCTGCAACTCATTCTTACCATACACATCACAGTAAGATGACCTGATACCTGTTATAACAATTCTATACTCTTAATATGTTCACTGATAGATGGTACAAGTCAAACAGTGATTTTCTTGATACTAGTAAGGAGGCAAGGAGATTAAAAGTTTTTTTTTTTTAACTGTGAAATGAGTAAATGATTAATGCTTAGTGGATTTTTATCCAAAGAATAAATTCAGCATTTAAGCACTTATATAAGAGACAATTAATTATAATTACTTAACTCAAACACTGCTCTGATTAGCTGTTTGCCTAAAAACACTTGAAGATATACTCAGGAGGAGATCGGAGCACTTATGGTCATGTCCGAAGTGTGATGAAGATGATCTTTAAAATGAACAATCAACAGTTGGCAGTTGCTCAAGAGGGAAATAACCAAACACAATATCAAAGACGATAAATATGCACTGGAAGTTGTCAGACTTCTAGTATGTTCTGGCCAAAAGATTTTTTTTTTTTTAAATCAGAAAACATTATTTGATGGTTAGGATTTACAGAGAACTCTGAGGAGTGAAACAGTTTAGTGTCTGGCAAATTTGGGACTTTTGTTTAACCGACACATGGTATATTACAAGTTAACCCGTGTTTTGAAAACTGCTTTGGGTATAAAGAGATTCTTTTCACTAATTAACAGAAAACAATGGATGCACCCTGCTATCCTATACTGTGATAAGGTTACTAGGCAGACATTTTTTTCAAAAGCAAAAGCATCTACATATCAGCTAGGCTACTCTGTTCAATAGTACATGACATCATGATGATAACTGCAAGAGTTCTAAGAGTTTTAAACTACACACTAGTCACAGTGACATACCAGAACTATTAATTGTTAGCCCTATCATATACGAGGAAAAGTCATTAAGTAAAGGCAACCGTATCCTAGTCTGCATGGAACAGTATGCAGAAGAAAATATATTATTTCAGGACACAGAATGGCCCTATTACAATGCCCAAAGTGCATGTTGTGACGATTTAACAGTACATGAATGCGCACCAGCTCATACAAGATGGCAGAAGCACTGTTAAAAAATCACCGTGGAAGAGCAACAAGACTTTATTTGTTTAGTGTGGGCAGAGGGTGATAAACCATCTTAAATCTATCAAAGAATGAAGGCTCAAAACGGATACAGCATTCAGCCGGGACATGGCAACATCACACTTTCATTTGTCTAGCCCACTGAAAGAACATTTGCGTGGCCAGAGATTTGCAGTCGGCAGTGAGGTGATGTGACGGTGAAAACTGGTTACTGGTTACACCTAAAAGCTTCTACCTGGTGAGCATCCACAATCTTGTGGATTGGCGGACTACGTGTGATGCAAGGCAGGGAGACTATGCCGAGAGATAGGACACATAACAATGTTGTTCAGGCTGCTTGATAAAAATTATTAATTCAACTGCCTTTACTTAATGACTTCCCCTCCCACCCAACAAACTAACAATAATATACTTTAATTTACACTGGCTGAAAGCAGGACATCAATATACTTTCTTCACCTACGATATTACAAATAAAAATGACAATAATCATCATAACAAAAACAGGAGTGATAACAACAATTATGATAATGGTGTGATCTACCTTTTGCACAAAAGTTTATAAATGGATTGTAGAAGCGTAGGTAGAATAAATCAGGGAACCACAGTAACATCTACCTTCTGTGTAAAAGTTTTTATATGGATTGTAGAAGCGTAGGTAGAATAAATCAGCAAATCACAGTAACATCTACCTTCTGTGTAAAAGTTTATTTATGGATTGTAGAAGCGTAGGTAGAATAAATCAGGGAACCACAGTAACATCTACCTTCTGTGTAAAAGTTTATTTATGGATTGTAGAAGTGTAGGTAGAATAAATCAGGGAACCACAGTAACATCTACCTTCTGTGTAAAAGTTTATATATGGATTGTAGAAGCGTAGGTAGAATAAATCAGGGAACCACAGTAACATTTGGTGTAATTTTAGTGATTCTCTGATGGCAGATCCAGTGGAAAAGCAAACAGAGAGTCACCACTCCTGGGTTTATCAACTACATCAAAAGACAGGGATGTCTTATCATCATTGTTGTTTATGACCTACATCAACAGTATATGCAAGCATGACAAGCCAAGGAACAAAAATGTTAGTATGATCACCGAATTACTCTTTACTTTTACTATGCCTTGACAGCAGATACAGCCATGAAATTGCAACAACCAACATCTATGAATGAAGAATTTAAAAAAAAATAATAATAATAATAGAGGGTCAACACTGAAAAGACAGAAGTAATGAAAATAGGAAGTAGCATTAAACAGACATCTGAGTTTAAATAATGGGAAACTACTTCTTCTTCAGCATTCCAAGCCCCTCGAGGTTCATTGCTGCAGATATCACCTGCTTCCATTCATCTCTCTGGTTGGTCTTCTTTTTATTCCAGTTGATGACACTGAGTGTTTGCAGGTCTGTCTGGATATTATCTCTCCATCCTCTTCTTGGTCTGCCTCGTGGTTAACGACAATTCATCTCTCTGGTGTATACAGTTTTCACTTCTCTGTCATCTGACATTCTCTCAATATGCCCCAACCATTTCAGTCTATTAGCTCTCATGCCAGTTATCAATGGTGATTTAAACAGATTATGAATTTCGTTGTTGCTTCTTACTCTCCATTCTCCGCTGTTTGCATCTTTGATAGGTCCAAAGATTCATCGTAACACTCTGTTTTCGAAAACCTGTAATAAGGCTTCCTCTCTTTTAGTTTTGCTCTAAGTTTCAGAGCCATATAAAATGACTGGTCTTATCAACATTTTACATATTTTGATCTTAGTGGTGCAAGACACTTTGACTTTAGCAGATGTTGAAAAGCATAGTTTGTATTTCTTCTCTCAGCAAGCTGGAGTAATTCAAGTTTGCACCCAAGTACTTATATGTTTCCGTTCGTTTAATTTTCATATAATGACTTGTATGCGGCCAGAGTTTATATTCTCTCCCTGTCTAGTTATTATTATGTATTCTGTCTTATCTTGATTGATAACTAGTCCCGTTTTCTGAGTTGATTCTTTAAAAAGAGTCAGTGTTTAAACAGCCCAATAATGGGAAACTGGATGAAGAAATTAACATCTGATGCACTAAAGCAAACCCCCCACCCCCTTTCCATCAAGCATAAGACAATCCTAATCAACACAAAGAAACGTCTCATCAAAGCATATTCATGTCCACTCTATGCCACTAGTGCCAGACATGGTCACTCTTAAAAAAAAAAAACAGAAAAGAAAATTAGGAACCATGTAAATAAGATGTCAAAGGAGTGTTGCAGGAGTGACCAGAAGAGATCAAATCAGGAATTACGCCCTAAGAGAAAAAAATCGGCTCTAAACCAATTCTAAATTACATACAAAGACGACAAATCAAACAGTTTGTCCACTCAGAGAAGGCACCTCGTAGTGCCATGCCATACAAGCCATACACCAAAAGTGGAGAAGGACTTACAGCATAAAAACACGATAACATTATTTTAGAGAAACTCTACAACAGCACAATGTGTCTATGGTTGAGGTGGCTACAAAACCAAAGAGCAGAAGAGGAAACCACCACACATATATAACCAAGAACAGTTTTTCATTTTTATTTTCAAGGTCAGTAGTTTTGAAGATCAATTTACGGAATGCTGTGTTCAAAAATGCTAAATTCCAATCATTCAACTGAACAACTTGGCATGGCACATCTTTTCACAGCTGTGCATAAGAAAAAGCAATGGCGTTTCCTATATTGTACAACTGCTTCTGGTGACCAATTTGTGAAAAGCGTTTGTCTTTTTTAACTGTATCTTTAACAATGGCTGTGTGTTTGCTGTAAAACCAAAAATATTAATAACATGATCCAACCTTATTTAATTTCTATCAAACTTTTAAGGTTTTTTTTTAAAATATTTTTTTCCTCCAAAAATGGCATGACCTTTGTAAGAAACTGTAGCCGACCCTATCACAAAATGAAGATGCAATGTTCCTTCGTCAACTGAGAAAAGAAAGAGAATTCTCAGGAGCTATTTAAATCTTATCCTGATAAACGAAAATGAAAATGAATAATGAACAGTTTGCCGATTTATGTGGAAATGGTGGAAATGTGGTTTTATCGATGAATGACGAGACCACCCAGACGAAAAGAGTAATGAGGATGTCTCGAAAGAAACTGGAAAAGAGCTGATCACCCATATCAGAAGGAGATAATCTACCATTTTTTGTTCACTTCATAAGAAGGACAAAAAACCGGCGTACATCGTGACGGTGACTAAGCTGGAGAGGGAAGAGGCAGAGAGAGACCGAGAAAGATGATGCCGGACAGTTTGACATTATGCATTATGGCATGGAAAATCATCTGTGTCAGAAATGATTAAAAGTATACAAGGCAGAACGTTGTGGACAGGCATGACTACCAAGGCATCACAACATGGACTATAAGAAGAAGAGAACCTCCTTAACTCTGTCAGTCCCAAGGAGTTTAGCATCAGAGGCCCAAGGGGTAGTAAAGAGAGAAGTAAAATCAGCACATCTTTCGTTCACTGGGCTTCTAAGTGGCAGCCTATGAACGTATGATGCGTTCCTTGGGGCTGAAAGAGTTAATACAAACTCATTTAGGAAGAACACTCGGCTAGATGTTCCATCTCCGGATCAAAGGTCTTGGGTTCAAAACCACAACTAGTAATATTTTCTCAAAAATGACCTTTGGCTTCCAATTCAACCTAGCACAAACTGGGCACCAGGTAAAGTCCTGGGAAGTAAAGGCAGCTGGTGTGATGTGACTACATCACCCACTGACGGCCAATAGGTCTATAAAAGTGTGAATCCAGCATCATATATCTTACTATTTCTATATCTTGTACTCACTGCAAAACAGCTTTGCAAGCTTGCCTAAATC